AAGAAAAGATTATCTGTACTTGCATAAACTAATTATAGTCATATCAGTTTATTTGGCCATTCATTTCCAACTCCCATAAAGCCTTTTTGAAAAAAAAAATTGAAGAAACCTTGGTTTGAATGTATTTATGACTTGAATTTTTGCAGGAACTCTACTAAAAGGCGAATCAATCTCATTGTCAAGCGAAATCCCTGCTTCGAGAAAGTCTGAGATTCCATGGATTACCAGCGGCGATCTAATCAAGCGGAAAGCTATTTTTAAATTTGTTCGTACCGGCCTGCAAAATGTCAAGTTTGCCAACCTCATTCTTTCCAACTCGTTTGATGAACTAGCTCCATCAGCCTTGAAATTGACTCCCAACGTCTTTCCGCTAGGTCCTTTACTCGCAAGCAACCATTTGAGAAGTTTCACTGGAAGCTTTTGGCCTGAGGATTCAACTTGGTAAGCTGGCTTGATAAACAAGATGCTGGTTCCGTCATCTATGTTGCATTTGGTAGCATAGCCATCTTTAGCCCACAACAAGTAGATGAGCTCGCACTTGGTCTTGAGCTCAGTGGCCATCCTTTTTTATGGGTTGTCAGATCCAACCTTACCAAAGGAAATTCATCTACTAAATTCCCACAAGGGTTCACAGATAGAATAGCAGATCGTGGAAAAATTGTCGAATGGGTGCCTCAGGATCAGGTCTTAGCCCATCCTTCTGTTGCTTGTTTCCTGAGCCATTGCGGATGGAATTCCACCATGGAGGGTCTAAGCATGGGGGTGCCCTTTTTATGTTGGCCTTACTTTGCAGATCAATTCCATAATAGAAACTACATTTGTGATGTTTGGAACATTGGGTTACCATTGACTCCAGATGAAAATGGAATCATAACAAAGCATGAAATAAGTGCAAGGATAAAGACCTTAATCTCTTCTGATGGAATAAAAGCAAATGTTTTGCACCTAAAAAAGGTTGCTAGAAAGAGTGTTGATGAAGCTGGATCTTCTTTCAAGAATTTTAAAAGCTTTATTGAACGGATGAAGGCTCTCTAATTGTGGTGGACCATTTCAAAAAGCATGGAAAGAAGACAGGCTTTAGCAGAGCTATCGAAAACTTCACGAAATAAATAAACCAACAAAATTGTGTCCCATGTGTCTACCATTTCCATATATAGTTCAAATTAGATTATAAATCTGTTGGTATATGCCTTTGAGTCAATTGGATTGGTTAAGAAATATATATTGTCATTTAATACATACTTAATTACATAACTATATGTGATAAAGGTTTTTCTTCATGTTAGTGTAATAATAAGGAGTTATTAAGTACTACTTGGATGAAACCCATTGAACTTAAGGCCTTGCAAGAGGATTGTAAAGATGTTACAATTATGAGATTACTATGGATTAAAGCCATGTTCTTAAAATTGTTATTGGTCATTGTATTGTCAAGACAGGGCATTGACAATGCTCAAAAACTAGTAAATGTTAAGCCTCCTTACTTAAGAAGTAAGCAATCGATCTTATAGATTGAAGTATATAGAATACTTGAGGATAACATGAGACTACTTGTTAAAGAATAAGTTCACTAAACATGACCTGCTATGAGAACTCCATTTGGTATTTCACTCAAGTGTCCATAGAATATGTTCTCATGTGATAGTCGTGCAAGTAATCTTCAAACTTGAGACATTAGGTCATCTTGTATGGAGAATAACATACTTTGATGTTACCTTTACGGGTTTGGAGGTAACCAGATTCCTAAATATAGTGTTTTTGGCTATGTCATAAAGCATACGAAGGTGAATGAATAGTCAAGAGAGAATTCATCACCCTAAGTGATATAAAGAGATATATCTCGTTATTCTCAATTCTTGATTAACTTATAAAAAGTCTTTAGCTAAAGCATGATGAATTTTTGAAAAGTTAGTTTCCTAAATTCATAAGGTTAGTCAAGAATTATGAAAACTAATATGGAATGTCATAAGTAGACATCGAGCCATACTTAATGACATATCTAGGATAATTGATGAAATGGTTGTATTGCATTGAGAGGTTTATTACTAAAGAGCTTTGTCAAATTCTTTAATTGACTCTTAATATTTAAGTGGTCATGATGTATTGCTAGATACCACTCATAATCTATAAATATAAATAAATTAT